ACTACCTGAAAATTTGAGCGAAAATTGACGAAAGATGAGACCAAACTTTTCGTCACACATTGCGTGTCACTCCTCGTTCGTGTTACGTAAGACAACTTGAATCTAAATGGCTCCTAGTCTGTCGCTGGATACGGCGCTTCAGCGACTGGCGACCTATCGCACCAACAATACCCGTGCCTCACAGGAGACGTTTGACCAAGGATGTCTTATACTCAAGTCAGGATCGAAAACAAAACATGGTGACGATGGTGTGTATCGACGGAACCAATGAAACCACGTCACTAATAGAAGTACAGTCTGGGCATTCCTGGAGCAGCTTGCGCTCGCCTCTATTGATGTAGGACGCTTGGACATTGCAGATGTAGGTATGGAACCCTGTATAACAGTGTGATTAAAAGACCGACCATCTATTCTCGTAGGAATGCATAAGGCAACTCGTTGACAAGTTTCCCAAATCGCCACGCATGGACGCACTTACTGGCATACGGATGGAGGCCAGTGTTTCGACGGACATAGTTCTGCAAAATTATAAAGAATTGCTTGATGCAGACCCTACGAATATAGTAGGTGAACTCTTGATCATCTGTCCAATGAGGAGTTGAGATGCTTCTCGTGCAGGCTGTATGGAAGCGCCGGATATCGGTGCTGCGCCGGATTGGTAAGATAGATTTGGCAGTGGAAGAGCTTTCAAAGCTTCTTGATACATTTTATACGGATACCGAGGGATGGCTTGAGCTTGCGGACATATACACCTCATGCAACCAGTGTGTCTGTTTTTGGTGTCATAGATTGACGTTGGCTAACCATTTTTTATGGTGTCATTAGATACACGCATGCGCTGGAGGCTCTCTCACATGCGCTTATTCTTGCGCCACAAAATCCGTTCACTGCGCTTCAGTTCGCGGAGACAGCATACACGGCAGGCGACGTTCCTCTTGCATTGAAAATGTTTCTCGTCGTTATAGATATGATTGAACACGATGTACCTCCAGATGATCCGCCCAAAGGAATTCGTATTCGTGCATGGTATGGTGTGAAACACGTGAGTGATTGACTGCTTCCTAAGACACTTGTATCTAAACAGCTCTCGTAGTGCTCACGCCAGCTCGTAGCTGCAGAAAAATATGCTCAATCTGCATCTGGAACAGTGGTTGCACCACTTGAAAAGTTGAGGCTTATTGAGGAACTGGCTACGGAACGGGTGCTTGCCGCGTACGAAGGGCAGAAGCCGGGAGCTGGATTGTGTCAATATGGCTGGCACCCCGCCGACCATAAGATATGACCTTATGAAACAGTCAGTTTAATCTGGCTATCAATCACACGTTTATTTTTCAGTCACCAGTTTCGACCGCGATCCATTTATTCAGGCTACTGATTTTTTTCAAGCATGTATGAGGAGTTGTAACTGCGTAGGATTGCAACTTGATTACAACTCGGAGCATAGGTTCTCCCTCGCATTCTCTCTGCGCCCTGCATGAGATTCAGCCTTGATGTTCCCGGATTGTCACTGAGAGGTCTGCCTCCAACCCCAGAAGTTCCATTGGCTACAGCATCGTGATAGAATTCAAGTTCATTCCTTAACTTCTCCATCCGTGAAGCTCCGCATGAGGAAGCCAGGTTTAAAATGGCAGAAGTGACACAACCTCGTCAATACGAATCCTTTCTTCTGGCTCATACCGTAACATTTTCCCAAGAACCAGTTCCAATGCCTCCAAATCTCCACTGAGCTCTTTTTGTCCCATTTCATCCCTCTTCCGGATATCTTCTAGTCGTTCCTTGAGGTCTATAGTCCTAGGCTCTCCTGACAATTTGTGCAGATCCGGCCGGAAAGTGCCATCTTCCTCGAAGTATTGATCGCGGGTTTCCCATTCTGTCCACCATCTCTCGGGAAGCTTGCCAAACGTACGAACCATATCGATCAAGATTTCGTCTCGATCCTCGAAAAATGACTCTAGAAGCCCGTGGGTGCTAAACAGCGCGAAAATCAGGCATCCGAGGGACCAAATGTCGACTTTGCAACTGATGATAGAGTCGTGGAAAAGGATTTCAGGAGCGGCCAAGGAGATTGGAATATTGGGTAATGGTTTCTCTGGATCAACCGTAAGGAACGATTCACCAAAATCGGTTATCTTGATTGAGCAATCATTCGAATCGAAGATAAGTTCGGCTCGTTGTCGGGGATCTGGAGGCATTACCACATATGAGGGCGCTGCAGGTGTAGTCGGGGTACCATCTTTTCTCTTGACAAGTTTCTTTTTAGGTTCCCCAAGATAACGATAAACCTTTTCCACCGACCATGAGTGGAAATCGGGAATTTCAAAGAGAATGTTGTTATAATGTAAGTCTTCTCAGAATAGTCAGTATAAAGAAATGTAAAATACGAGTGGATTTTACCTCCATGCACGACACCACAGGAGTGGAGAAAGGCAAGCCCCTTGGCACTCTGCGAAGCTATTCTTCGAGTGATTGACGTCGGCAGTATATTTCCAGGGGCCTTGAATCTGACTTGATTAACGCTAGGACCAATCACTTCGGTGATAAGGCAACGATGACGACCATTCGCGCTCTCAAGCTCGAAATCGTCGAGTAAAGTCATAACGAATTTCCGCCCAGGGTGCTGGTGACCTGCCGCTCTGATATGGTGTAGAATCCTAGTTTCTGAGCTTTCTGTAGCAGCTGAGGCAATGATGAACTTCATTGCAACGAATCGGTTCAGTTGCTTATCTCTCGCAAGCCAAACCGTTGAATAGGTCCCGAATCCAAGTTTATGAACAATACAGTATCGGTTCTTGATTTCATCGTCAATGTGGACAGGATAAAATCCACCAGGGCTGTACATTTCAAGGTCTTCACCGTCCTCCAGCAAATAATACAGTGGTTCCTCACTTTCAAGGGAAGCCATGGTTGAGCGATTGTGCAATCTTTGATGATAATATGAGGGGAAGAACGGAGTGAGGTGTCCGGATCGGTAGCACAATCTTGAGATATCCAGTCCAGTTCGATATATGATCCGAGAGTGTCTTGCCTCAAGAAAGTATGTGTAGGGCAGGCAATGTCCTTTTTTATCAGAGTTGAATATCTAACTTCTGCCATCGTGATTAATTATCCTTTTGCGTCCTTAGCACGTCCTTCATGAAGGAGATTATCCACACCAGTCTGTGCTTGGGGAGCACGTGTAGTTTTATGTGTCGGTCAACCCCTATGTATCATTCATTGCTACCACGTGCAGCTTGGTATTGAAAAAATCATGGCCTCTATCACTCACTTCCATTGCTATAAAGTCATCCAGCTACGACGACGACGTTCCTTCGTTCATTCTCTCCTCTCTCATATCGTTCGCCTTCGCCACGAAGAATAATGCGGAATCCTATCCGTCGCCTTTCCCTTGCAATTCATCTTGGGAAAGTAAGGCCAGCTGAAACGACTATGATGGTATCTCAGCCAGATATCCCATCGCTCGCTCAATTTCTTTCCGCATCTAAAGAAAAGTATCTTCGAGACGTACATTCAAATCCACAGAAAGGTGGAGATTGGACTGTTGTGATGGGCAATGAGGCAGGAGGTAGGGTCATAAAGCTCATGTTTTATGTTCTTAGGTCCTTATGCTGATACAACCCAGACCTTGATTCTGTCGCTTCGTCTATTGCTTATGCGTGGATCCTGTCAGAGGTACACAAGAAACCCGCTATCCCGTTGCTCCAGATGGAGCGCGACGACCTTGATCTGCGTGCTGAAAACATGTATGCGCTATCGCTCGCTGGAATTACGCAGCCCAAAGAACAGCTTCTTTTTCTGACAGACCTTGTACCTTTCTCCTTGAGTGCAGCTACAACATCTTTCCCATCTCATACATTTGCTCTAGTTGATCATAACAGCCTTGCCTCGGCTTACACGTTTCACAACCACTCGGCTACTGTCGCCGCTATCCTTGACCACCATGCAGATGAGGGCAAGCATCTCAACGCTTCTCCACGCGTTATTGTCCCCTCCGGCTCCTGTACCTCCCATGTGACCGCTCTTTGCCCTCCAGAACTCCCCACTTCCCTCGCGACTCTTCTTCTCACAGGAATTCTTATCGACACCAACGGTTTAAAACCTGGCGGCAAAGCCCTCGAACCAGACCACATCGCAGCAGGCTTTCTTGCACCCCGCAGCACTCTTGCATCCTCACTTCCTGCGTCACTCATCTCTCATGAGGACCTGTACGGTTCAACTGCCGTTAAGGACCTGACACGTGTTTTGAAGAAGCTGAAGGCGGGCGTTGACCACCTCTCTGCGCGAGACCTCCTTAGGCGTGACTACAAAGAGTATGTGTTCGATGTTCCAGGTGCTGGACCTATCTGCGCAGGACTCGCATCTGTGCCTGTCCGTTTACGGGAGTGGGAACTGCAAGATGCAGCTGGTGCGTGGATGGAAGAACGCGAGATACAGGTGTTGGGGGTGTTGACGTCGTTCCGCGGTGGAAACAAGGGAAAGGGTAAATCTAAGCGCGAGATGGCATGGGTGGTGTATGATGGGAGGAAGAAGAATAAGGAGGAACAGATGTCATTCGATGTGAATGCACTTGCAGAGAAGTTGTTTAGAGGCTTGGAAAGGAGTGAGGAGCTCAAAGTCAGGCTGAAAAAGCGGAGATACGACATGGAGAAAGGTGGAAAGCTGCCCGATGGTGCACGCTCGCGCACTTATGATCAAGGCAATGTGGTTGCCACTCGTAAAGTTACGGCACCCCTCCTAAAGAGCATTCTGGAGGCAGCCTAGACAAATGCAACCGTGAAGGTGTTACTTGATAATTTAGGGCGTTGTTGGACTGAGAAGAAATTTCTGAAATGTTCAAACGTTCATCAAGCTGATACCTTACATAAAGTATACGCTACATGCTGGGAAAGGAAATCGTGTGATGCATCGATGAACGTTAACTTTCTCCGGCCCTCAGTAAGAAGATTACAATATCTGGTGCGATGCTGGTCTGCACTCGTCGATATATTCAACTTCGCAAATATAGCAGCATGGCGCAGTTGGAAGCGCGCGGGGCCCATATATTAGTTTACCCCGAGGTCACTTGATCGAAACAAGTTGCTGCTATTCCATTTTCCATTTGGTTTTTCCTGTTCAGAGTTTTCCGAGAGACCCGTCATCGAGTGACGATAAATAAAAATTGCCACACGCAAGCATTATCATCCAATGACGAGGAGTAACACAGATGATTCGAAGGGACAATGGACATGGGACGATTCACCCTTCTGTCATTTGTTTGTCATCTCAACTATTCCACTGTCGCAATGGCTCTCGCAACGCTCGACGGGAGAGACGTCCGTAGCATACGCGGGACGCGACCTATGACGTATGTAGTACGGGCCCCGGCTGTTCGTCCGCGGACCGCGCCGGTAAAACCACCACCACCACTAAGACACGAAGTTGAAACTCCAATCTTTAAATTCGATCAGCGTCTCCTGTCGACTTCGGAAGACAGCCTCAACAGAGAGAGAGATGCATCTTGAAATGGAATAGACGTTTACAAGCATAGTGCTGACCACGAGAGGGGGGAGAAGTAAATTGGTATAGGCCTCGTTGTCTCGTAATCTGTGGATCCAAAATCTTTTCTTTTAATATAATTTATCCATTGAATCATCGACTTGTGCTTCTATACTACCATACTGAGTGAAAAGCTAAAAATCGAGAATCACAGGGATCGCAGGGCCTCAAGGATCGATTGATAATTCTCCTCCTCCGATCGTCGACCCCTTCTTTCGCGCAACCAGTGACAACTAAATCGCGAATTGAAATGGAAATCGGAATCCGTAGGTGGTTGGAAACATTCTATCCAAACCGTTTTGCCTTCACTCTGCCCAGTTTCTTCTACGACACTCTCTGATATTATATCCAGAACATTGTTCCATGGAGATGGTAGCTCTAACATAGGCTGGTCTGTGAAGTCGATCATCCAAAGGCATTATTTTCCTGTCCGGAATCGTTCTGTTCATCGATGTTATCCACCCATTCGAATCATCGAGGATCAACTCATCGACTTGTAGACCCAGGCGATTAGGACAAAGATGACGGATGGGGTCTAAACAATCCTGGTCTTCTCGAATCGAAGATGGGTGGCTCTCTTCTATAAATTCTGGCAATTGCTTGATAGTATTAGCAACCGAAGAGAATGAATTATGCGTGGATTCCCTGGAAAGCGAGTCTGCTGACGTTAATGAATCAACAGACTGGGCATTTGAAATTTTATGTTCTGGCGGCCTGGAGGGAGGTAGACTGCTGCAAGGGGGTGATGGAAGAGGTCGAAGACGGCGAGGAGAGCTTGGACACCGGGGAGTGGGCGGAGAAGGGATGGCTGGGAGGTCGTAAGACCTTTTGACTCGATGAAGTGGAAGACATTGTTGTCTTGATTATCAGTCCGTTGGATGGGCTCGGCCGCCGGGCGACATTTACAGAGGGATTTCCAACACTGCAAGAGACAGAGGAGTATATGTTGGTGATATGCTGGGATGGTGATTGAGGTATGTGAACGTGAAGTGACCCCACTTCTGAGAGGGACACTGATAAATGCAAGGGCTTCATAGTCATCAAAAGAGGGATGCTTGCGGCGAGCACACTTCATTGCCTTGGTATTTGTTGACATGGTTCGACTGTTCGTGTTCGTGCATCACACATATCACGGTCGGTTGTCGAGGTCATCGTCAAGGAATACCCTCAGGATTGCCATCAGAAATGTGGCCTATGACTTGAGGGTTCCGACGTGAATTGATTGTTGAATCAGACTACAAGGGTTACGATCTTGCTTCGATTGGACAACAGTCAGCCTGTCTATTCCAGGTGAAAGAGGTTTTAGAGTTTTCTTGCTTGGGATTGCACCCGTCTCCTGAGCGAACGTGGGAAAAATATATTATGTATGTAAACTCGATGCTCAATTGACTTTCGAGTAGATTTCTGGTCACTCAAACCTCGAAATCAACTCCTTCATTTTGATGCACAAAACAGATGAATTCGAGCTGTCGTAAGTGTTCAACGCCGGATACCTCAACTTAGAAGAGCTTTGAAGCACTGAAGAGTAGTTTAGAAACAATGTTGAGTTAAATCATGCTGTCAACGTACGCAAATGACCACAAGTTCACAGGGTTGTTATAGGTGTCCTTAGTATACGGGAATCTGACTGTTATCGATGACATCAACAAATGACATCCGCGTCCAAGGGACGACGCACGTAAGGGTAACTCGGAAAGATAGGCTGTGCAGGCAGTTGTTCATGAGTATCATTTGTCAAGGAGTACGTTAGATCTAACGTACCGATCGGAACGCTTTCATTGAGGAAACTCCAAGCTGATGAAAACGAATTCTAGAATGATCATGGAAAAATGAGAGTGATCTGACCTGTCCTCCAGTTATGCCTAGTCGAGAATGGTAAGCTCTGATACACCTTTAAAAGCTTGAAAAAAGACTAACCTGAAGTTGGCTGATACAAGCCTTTAAAAGGTAGTTAGATCAACACCACGGATCCTTTCTCGGGTTGGACTCACAAATCAGGAGGGGCCAAAGGATCCTGAGATGGATTCATATGAAGTTAGCGTTACTCCAGGACATGTGTACTTACATTCTTCACGCCAGCTGTTTTAATCTCTGTATCAATGTCCACCCACTCTAAAACCTGATTGCCAGCCATTCCTTTTCAGACAATCACGGCAAAGCATAAGCAACTTGAGTCGTTAAAGATGGAATGCATATACCCTTGAACTGTACATCTTCCCCGGGTTTACCTCCGAAAACGGCTATCTTAGTACCGTGCCTCTCATTCATGAGGGTACTAAACATTGCGCAAGTGGAAGCGCAATTCCCATTGTTGACTGTGTTAAGTGAGATTTCTTCAAGCTAAGGTGCTGGATCATAGCTTAGCTCACCAATAGCGACTTTGCTAAAAAGAATAAAACATACATAGTCAGGATGCAATCGTATGACGGATAGTATAAGCAAGGGATCACCTTAGATTGAAAGGAGGATCGGCTGGAACCGTCTCCGAGAAACCAAGTTCACAAGTATCCTATATGTATCTTGATAAGCAGATGTACCATACGTTGTAATATTGCTCACATGGAACCTCTGAGATGTCGGATCTGATTGCCCATTCACAGTGAATGGCGCTGAGGGAGTTATATAGTTGAAACTAGCAGGAATATGTGTTCCATTTAAGAAGGCATCTGTCATGATCTTGAGGTGTCGTATCCTTGAAAATAAGAGCTGGCTCACAATTGTCGCCAGTGTAAAAGGAGAAAGCATCGTTAAGACCTAGTTCAATATCCGCAGCAACAATCTTTTGAGCAAGAACATTAGCACGGACACTTGAGACGAAACCACTTAATGACGTTCTTTCTAAGTAAGAGGTACTGCAAAACGGTATGAAAACGCACGGATAGCCAAAATTAGAACCAGAAAGATATTGATGCAAGAACTGGCCCAGGCAGACGAACCCTCCTGGAGATCTCGTGAGAAACACAATGATGTCGAGAAATGTTTGATGGTACCTACCTCCGTTGTTTGTCAAGTCAATCAGAAGTTGTGTCACTCCCGCGTTCTTGAATGCCTGGATTGCGCTCACAACGTCGGCTTGGAATCCGACAAAGTCACCAGAAAATGACCCGACGAACATCTTTAGTACTGTAATAAGGACACTGGCCTGAGGATTCATAAGAATTTAGCAACGCACCACCCCTGTTTGATTGCCAGGAAGGATGTAGGACTTGATGACTCCTTCACTCCCTGCGACAGGAGGTAGGGAGGGTATGAACTGGGGAGGGAGACCGACGGCGTTAGAATTCGACTTGTCAATGATGTTTCCCTTAGCAAGACGCCGGGTAACCGTCTTCGACAATGTTTGTGAGCCTCTAAGACTCACGCCATTAGTGGCAGTGTTTGCTACGCAATTAGCTTGCCAACTAGTCAAGCGGGGTAAACAATGGCATCATGCTTCAAATTGTTGAGGGCTCACTAGGAGGCTGAGTCTGTGAAAGGTGCGCCAATGTAGTTTGCTAAGTAAGGAACAGTGACATTTTCGGCCACAGTAGAATTGACAGGGATCAGATTGAAAGTCAGTGAGGTTTGAGTGACATCCATAGGCCCAGCCAGATCGCCCAGTCGTTGAGAAAAATCGGTCCCCGAGATACGATAACTGGTGAAGACAGAATTGACTCTGACGCCATGATCCAGATAGTTTCCGGAAACGGTCCTGGCTATAGTATCCACATATGCGTACGGATCCTGGCCATTGATTTGCAGAACCTGTGCACCTGCAAGGCGCTGCCAATCAAACCCGATGCCATCGAAGAAACCTGTATATTCGGGACCAAGGAGAGAAATGAAGTCGACCGCATCGAATGCTATGTAGACACCCTGCACCCCATTAAGTTCAATGGTGATTGGAGGCGTAGGTAGGACATTCTGGTAAGCATTGTAGCAGTTTGGGAACCAACCTGACGTTGTGAAAGTGAGTACCACGCAGGGAAACGTGTGGATATGTACAGACGGGTGTGACCATCATTCATTTGGGTAATAAAGTCATAGAGAGCTTTGTTGAAATCATAGTCAGTCTTACAGATGATAAATCATCAAACCAGTGTGTATGGACTGAATTTATGTGAATTTACCGCGAATTCTGTCGAATTGATCTTCGCGATTGTTGCCCGGATGTCAACAGTTGACTCCTGGAATGGTGGCGGGGAGTTCAAGTAATAATCTTCGAACGTGAAGAAATCGAAAACTCGTGCAACGGTTGTGAGGACGTTCTGTCTCAGAGTCTCATTGAAGGGGAAAGCCTTGTAACACGCGAGAGCGTCGGCTGGAGGTACGAATGTCTTTCCTGCGACTTTGATACATGGGTCAGTAGCAGACGAAGCTGCAAAGGTCACTTGTGGGATAAGACATGCGACAGCGACGACAGACGAGGCAAGCCTCGAGACGGGAAGCATCGTTGATTTAATGACATTTCAGTCAAGCTTTTAAGCCGATATAAGAGAAGCTTTTGATGTGGCATCAGGCAAGAATAGCGCCAAAAGACGGGCCATATGCTTGTGTGGACGCAAGCGCGA